GGTTCGACGAAGATTTCTGCCATATACAAAGCCGGCTGAGTTTCTCGGCGGATCTTCTCAGTGGGTCGCAATTCCGGTGGTAGTTTTTTTTATTTTTATTTCTTAGGTGGGTGGATGAGCTCACAGCCCACCTGGTGTTAAGTGGTTACTGCAGCCCATAGACATTTACAGCGTAAATGCGCCACCCACCTTGAGATATAAGTTCTAAGGTCTCAAGTATAGTTACAACGGCTGCCCCGCCCTTCAAACCGAAACACATTACTGCTTCACGGCAGAAATAGGCAGGGCGGTGGTACCTACCCGCGCGGACTCACAAGAGGTCCTACCACCAGTAAGAACCGTTTAGCGATGCACTGATTGAGCTAGGGCTAGTGTTAGCCAATTCTCTCAGGTTGAGCCCGTGAGCTCTCTTATTCGTCAGAGCGGAGCTGGAATAGCCATTTAGGTTATCAGCGTATTCTTTCTTCTTCTTCTTCTTCGTCGCTTTCTTCATTGCTGAAGGTCGTGTCCCTGAAACTGGACCTTCTCTTCTCGAATGGCGGTTGCGACTGGCAGCGCAGTTTAGGGCGGTTATTTAATAACACCAACGGTAATCGGCCGCGGGGTCTCTTTCCTTCTACTTTGGAAATAGAAAGAAAGAGAAAAAAAAAACTTCTGTATTGTGTATGTAAATTGTACTTTTTTTGTATTTAATGTATCGCACTGTTTATTTGTTTTTTGGCGTACCTACAATAAATAATACTCTCTCTCTCTCTCTCTCTCTCTCTCTCTCTCTCTCTCTCTCTCTCTCTCTCTCTCTCTCTCTCTTCTATCAGCGTATAGGTAGGAAGAAAAAAATGACATTGAAGTTATATCTTAGAACAACGCCGGTATTCGGACGATGTTTTATGTCCGCAGGTTAAGAATTCAGTTGTGAAAGCGTCAATTTCCCGCTAACGATCACTACAAAGATATTTTCCAGTATTTTAATCATCTTCGACTTATGAGTATGTCTGTCTGAAAACACAAGGCAAGCGTTTTTCGCTTTAAGTAAAATTTATAAAGTGTTTGTGTTAGGATATTTTAATATTGCACGAATTACACTTACATGTAATTAATTAATATATGTATCATATATTAATTAATTATATAAGTCATCGTGGCCTAAAGGATAAGACGTCCGGTGCATTCGTATGTATCGATGCACCGGTGTTCGAATCCCGCAGGCGGGTACCAATTTTTCTAATGAAATACGTATTTAACAAATGTTCACGATTGACTTCCACGGTGAAGGAATAACATTATAATAATAAAAATCAAATCCGCAAAATTATAATTTGCGTAATTACTGGTGGTAGGACGTCTTGTGACGGGTAGGTACCACCACCCTGCCTATTTCTGCCGTGAAGCAGTAATGCGTTTCGGTTTGAAGGGTGGGGCAGCCGTTGAAACTATAATTGAGACCTTAGAACTTATATCTCAAGGTGGGTGGCGCATTTACGTTGTAGATGTCTATGGGCTCCAGTAACCACTTACCACCAGGCGGGCTGTGAGCTCGTTCACCCATGTAAGAAATAAAAAAAAAATCAACAGTTCGATGTTTTTAATTGAACTTCATTTACAAAATATGTTTACCGCAGCAAATAGCTGAACTTTTTTTTTTTTAATTATTTTTTCTAGATTTTGATTTTAAATGGCTCTCTTGTAAATATGCAAAAATGTTGCTTAATATGTTTAGTTTGTAATCATTTGATTATGACGCTATGACCTGTCCTTCTTCAAACGAAGCTTGTGGAGATTACTCAACATTAGGCAGCGGTTTGGCTCTGCCTCTGGCATTGCTGAAGTCCATGGGCGACGGTAACCACTCACCATCAGGTGGGCCGTGTTTGGCTACAAGGGCAACAAAATAATAATAAAAATTGATTTGAAATAACGAAGTCAATAAACTCCATTACTATTGACCCAATTAATATATTTGCGTCGCAATATCCGGTCGGTGACATCGGCTCCGCGTTGTTATGCAAACATCATTTTACCTGACACCGGTGAATTTTTTTTTTTATAATAAGCAATTGTAAATATTTCATGTGCATCCGTTTCGAATAACTATAGTGTGCGTTCAATTAATTACACGAAGTTCATCCTTAATTACTGAAGTCTCAAGATTGTTTTTTGAGTAGTAGTAGGTAGTAGTTTTATTTATCCAATTGGAAAATCAAAGGTATCATACCATACAGCCTAATCTTTTATATATTATATATTTTTTTAAGAAAAATGATATCTATCTATCTATATATATAAAAATGAATTGCTGTTCGTTAGTCTCGTTAAAACTCGAGAACGGCTGGACCGATTTGGCTGATTTTTGTCTTGAATTATTTGTGGAAGTCCAGAGAAGGTTTAAAAGGTAGATAAACGTGAAAGTGGTCGGAATTAAATAAAAATAACCGTTTTGTTTTTCCTTTGATGTGCCCCTCGTCGGACGGATTCCTTTTGTTTGTTTTAAGTTTATTTTATACAAAAGTTTAGGTTTTTTATTTATCGATTGAGGCACTACGAAGTCTGCCCGGTCATCTAGTTATGAAATAAAATGAAGTTGATTAATATGAAACATGGCATGAAATGAGATGAGATGAAATATAATATCAGTAAAATGGTGGTCATTTACTGAGACTTTTTCAGTGGACTTTTTGGAGGATCCCTAGAAGTTACGTTCAGTAGCTTTGTTTAATTTTCCCACATTTGTGCACTTTCACAGATATTCAACAGTTAATAAACCACCGCTATTACACATTTACACCTGAAGAAACACTGAATAAACAAAATAAAACAAATCACACAACTTCACTCCCCGCGTTCCCGCCAAAAAGTCCTTGTTTTTTTGATTTATTACATTCTATCTTTTGTTTCTTTATTGACATTTAGGAGAAAGTGACAGTTGACATAATTTTTATTTTTAATTTTTGCCTATCTGTATATAGAATACTTTGCATAAAGATTATATTGCTTAATTAGCGATTTTGAGGAAAACTGCCTCAGTTTCCAATTAGCTTAGCTTGTAGGCAGACGAGCACACGGCCCACCTGATAGTGAGTGGTTACCGTTTGAAGAAGGTCATGTCATAGCACTCGGGAAACACCGTGGAGGGGAGCTCATTCCATAGCCGGATGGTACGTGGCAAAAAAGACCTCTGGAAACGCACTGTGCATGACCGCAGTGACTCCAGGTAGTATGGATGAACTCTACTCCGGTGGCGGGCGGTGCGATGGTAAAAACGAGATGTCGGTATCATCTCGAACAATTCCTCAGAGCACTCCCCATGGAACATACGGTAAAAAATACAGAGGGAACCGAAATCCCTCCACAGACCCAGAGGTTCCAAACGATCCGTGAGAATGGGATTGTCGACGATCCGAACGGCCCTTCTGTATGGAGTCAAATGGAAGAAGCTGCTATTTGGGAACCCCGGCCGAGAGATGGGGGCAGTACTCTACGCGAGGCCAGACTTGTGCTTTATAAAGCAAAAGTCTTTGTCCAGGCGTGAAATACCGCTTCGCTCTGTTGAGGACTCCCAGCATTTTGGACGCCAACTTGGCTTTGCCATGTCGACCCCAAGTATCTTTATACTCGCGGAAGGTTGCAGGGATACTCTTTTTTTTTATTTATTTTTTATTGCTTAGATGGGTGGACGAGCTCACAGCCCACCTGGTGTTAAGTGGTTACTGGAACCCATAGACATCTACAACGTAAATGCGCCACTCACCTTGAGAAATAAGTTGTAAAGTCTCAGTATAGTTACTCCTTGGAATTGCGGCGCCATGACAAAGGGGTCCTTCTTCGCAGTGAACGCGCAAGCCTGTGTCTTCAACGGGTTAAATTGAACTAAGTTCGATTCACCCCACTCGGAGATTCGCCCCAGAGAGTTCTCCACTTCAAACACAAGTTTAGATCGTCTCTCTTGCACCACGCTCCGAACAAGACTCTGATGGCCGATATATCGCGCATCCCCCGTGCTGTCGTCCGCATATCAATAGACAGCATGTCATTGATATACAGGATGAAAAGCGTGGGGGAGAGCACTGAACCTTGTGAAACGCCAGCGTTAATGGTCATGGTATCCGAACAGTCAACGTCTACAACGACCGTGATGCTCCGCCCAAACTAGCGAGCCATGTTCGGAAATTTACTTGAAAACTGTGAAATGTGAAACTGTGAAAATGCGAATCAAGTAACTGTTGAATATCTACTGTGTGTTTAGTGAGAGTTTTTTAACGTTCTCGATACCGTAAAAGTTAACTCAAATTTGTATGGTGTTGGAACGTTTGCCTGCGTTTGCCGCTAGGGGCGCTGTTCCAACTGAACACAAATTTGAGTTAACTTTACGCTATTGAAAACGTTAAAAAACTCGCACTAAGCACACTGTTCTATGATTGCTACTGTTGCACATTCCACCGAAATTAATAGTGTTCGTCGATTCTCGAATTTCACGGTGTTTTTAAAATGTTTTTATTAGTTATGTACGTTTCTTTGTACCTAACGGAATCTTTGAACCTCATTTTCACCGATATTAAGACTTCCTATTAGCTTGAAAGCTTGCAGTCGCCTCAATGATCGATCGCATAATACAATTTTTTTCTCTTCCTGTGCTGATAACCTTGAGAGGCTATTTCGGCTTCACTCTAGCGTGTAGGTGAGCTCACGGGCTCAAACCGGAGTGTTGCTAAAACTGGCCCTACCTAGCAAGAGCAGTGCTTCGCAGGATCTACCACTGGATCGGAAACGCGACCCATTGAGAAGATCCGGCGAGAAACTCAGTGGGCTGTGTCTATGGGTACCCCATTATTGTACTATCCTGCCAAACGTATAGCATTGTTGCGCCACGGCAGAAACATATCGACTAATAACTGCATCATTAACATTTAAGGTTTAACTAGATCTCATAGCCGAACGATCTACCCTCAGCACTCACCAATCATTCACTTTCAGATAACAAGCGACGAAAACGTTAAGTAACTGTGATGAAATCGATCGGCATGGAAAACTGCTCCGATCGGCTCAGTCCACCGAGTGACGTGACCAGCGGCTCAGAAACCTCACTCCCGCCCTTCAACTACGAACCAAGCCAGTTCTACGCGCAACAAGAACTCGAGAAACAGTATTTCTCGTGTAAAAAGACAAAAGACGAACGCAAAACGAACGCCATTTACATAGACGGTAAAGCTTACGAGAGCCAGCAGAGGAACAAGAGGTACATCAACTTCGAGCTGAAGCTTCCGCCGCACGACGATTACTTCACGATCGAAAGCGACCGCCAGAACTATTACGACGAATTAAAAAGCTGCATTCACAACGAGAGCGCGCTCGTGGAGCTAAAGGGACCGACGGGGTTCGAAGACGCGGAAGGCAACGAACGCGTTCAGTTTTGCGCCGAGAACGAAAACAATAATACGAGGAGATGCCTGAACTTCAATTCGGAGCAGGTTCAGTGCGTCTGCGAAGCGCTACAGCAGAAAGGGGACATTGAGAAACTGGCCGCTTTTTTATGGAGTCTACCGCCCAGTGAATTGTTGCGGGGAAACGAAACTGTGCTCAGGTAAGAGTTTTTCTCTATCAGCCCACGTTGGACATAGATCCCCCTAAAGCCACAACGTCTGGTCTTGGCTTGCCGCTTTTTTGTGGAGTTTTGTGGACATTGAGAAAGTGGCCGCTTTCTTGTGGAGTCTACCGCCCAGTGAATTGTTGCGGGGAAACGAAACTGTGCTCAGGTAAGAGTTTTTCTCTATCAGCCCACGTTGGACATAGATCCCCCTAAAGCCACAACGTCTGGTCTTGGCTTGCCGCTTTTTTGTGGAGTTTTGTGGACATTGAGAAAGTGGCCGCTTTCTTGTGGAGTCTACCGCCTAGTAATTTGTTGCGGGGAAACGAAACTGTGCTCAGGTAAGAGTTTCTCTCTCTCAGCCCACGTTGGACATAGATCTCCCTAAAGCCACAACGTCTGGTCTTGGCTTGCCGCTTTTTTGTAGATTTTTGTGGACATTGAGAAACTGGCCGCTTTCTTGTGGAGTCTACCGCCTAGTAAATTGTTGCGGGGAAACGAAACTGTGCTCAGGTAAGAGTTTCTCTCTATCAGCCCACGTTGGACATAGACCTCCCTAAAGCCACAACGTCTGGTCTTCGCTTGCCGCTTTTTTGTGGAGTTTTGTGGACATTGAGAAACTGGCCGCTTTCTTGTGGTGACTACCGCCTAGTGAATTGTCGCGGGAAAACGAAACTGTGCTCAGGTAAGAGTTTCTCTTTATCAGCCCCCGTTGGACATAGACTTCCCTAAAGCCTCAACGTCTGGTCTTGGCTTACCGGTTTCGCTTGCGGATCTTTAAAACTAATAGTGCTGTTGGATGCTACTGGTAGTAGCACAGGTCATTGTTGCAATTGTCGGTGAGTTCGACGTCACACTTAGCTTATAGCATCATCCCGGTGAGTCTCTCGCCGGATCTTCTCAGCAGGCCGTGGAAGTTGTGGTGGTAGATGCACTCGCAAAGTAGATGTGAAGTTCGGTGGTGGTATTTACGTTGTTACGCTTATACGATGACTGGCGGTAGGACTCTTGTGAGTCCGCACGGGTAGGTACCACCGCCCTGCCTGTTTCTGCCGTGAAGCAGTAACGCGTTTCGGTTTGAAGGGTGGGGCAGCCGTTGTAACTATACCTTAGAACTTATATCTCAAGGTGGGTGGCTCATTTACGTTGTAGATGTCTATGGGCTCCAGTAACCACTTAACAACAGGTGGGCTGTGAGATCGTCCGCCCACCTAAGCATTAAAAAAAAAATCGGACGCCGAGTAGGACACCGTTGACTGACATGGCAGTAAACGTTTCAAAAAGTGTTGGGAATTTAATGAAAACCTTCTTTCCAGGGCCCGAGCTTTGGTAGCTTACCACAGAGGAGTGTTCCAAGAGCTTTACGCTATATTGGAAGCTCACACGTTTTCCCCGAGACACCACACGTCCCTACAGAACTTGTGGTTCAAAGCTCATTACAAAGAAGCCGAAAAAGTACGCGGGAGAGCTTTGGGTGAGTTTGTGTTTTGTTTTTCGTCGACCTATGAAGTTATTAAGACTGAATCAAGTCCATTTTCTTCGACAAATACAAATATAATTTTACGTCCGAAGATGTAGTAGCTTAGCGCTACATTTGTATTTTATTTTCATCAACATTGTAACTATATGAATACTGGTTGAAGCCTGAAAACCTGGTTGAGTCTTTGCTCGCCCACCTTTTTTTTATTGCTTAGATGGGTGGACGAGCTCACAGCCCACCTGGTATTAAGTGGTTACTGGAGACCATAGACATCTACAACGTAAATGCGCCATCCACCTTGATATATAAGTTCTAAGGCCTCAGTATAGTTACAACGGCTGCCCTTCAAACCGAAACGCATTTACTGCTTCATGGCAGAAATAGGAGGGCTAGGGCTAGAGTTAGTGTTAGCAATGTCGTCAGGCTTAAGCCCCGTGAGCTCATTTACTAATTCGGTGAATCTAGAATAATTCCTCGAGGTTACTAGAATAGGTAGAAGAAAAAAGAAAAGAAAGTAGACCGTGAGCTCGTCCATCCATCTAAGCATAAAAAAACACCTCTTCTTCTTCCAAAAATTGTTTCGTATTATGTGTACTATAAGGTGTACTAGTGGCAGTAGTCGAAATTCGACAATAATTCATTGAAATTATAATTAATTGAACATTATTATCGTTCTATTGTCAAAGACTTCTATAATCACAAATTTCGCGTAGACCCCACAATAGACAAATAATGTTAAAGATAAACAATATTAATCTATTCTCAATTTGACCACAGACTCTAGGCAATAACAAAAGGTTGACAGTAAACAAAGAGTTTAAATATGTGTGTGTATGTCAAATACATGGTAGTGTGTGTAATGTTTTATTTATTGATTTAATGTATTATTAATACATAATTTACAAAACATATTAGCATTCTGCACTCCTTCTCTATATTGTCTATAAGTGTGGAAAATTTCACATTTTTCCGTCCGCGCAATTTTCGTAAAAGGGGTGCAAAGGTTTTGTTTCACGTATTAATATATAGATATGATGCCCTTTAATTTCTGCAGCATTGAAATAGCTGCATCCCTATAGTGAACCACACTGGAAGTTACCGGCCGGTATTCCGCGTCATTGCTTAGTAGACCCACAGGCCGAATCCTGTTCGAAGCCCATCACTGCCATTAAATACTTCCTCGAATGTCTTATGTTCTACGGCAGTTAATGGTAAAACGTCGGGTTAATTCATTAGTGGAACTTACGATTTATTTTCAGGAGCCGTTGACAAATATAGGTTAAGAAAGAAATACCCTTTACCCAAGACCATATGGGATGGCGAAGAGACCGTCTATTGCTTCAAAGAGAAAAGCCGAAACGCTCTGAAGGACTGTTATTACAGGAATCGGTGAGTTCTTCTTAAAGCTCGAGATGCGGGACAATAGGCGGTGTCGCCATGTAACAGGGGATAAGAAAGATAATCTATATCTATCTATATATATAAAAATTAATTGCTATTCGTTAGTCTCGCTAAAACTCGAGAACGGCTGGACCGATTTGGCTGATTTTGGTCTTGAATTATTTGTGGAAGTCCAGAGAAGGTTTCAAAGGTAGATGGAAGGATATGAAACTGCTCGGATTATAAATAAAAATAACAATTTTGTTTTTTCCTTTTATATGTCTCCCGTCGAACGGAATCCTTTTGTTTGTTTTAAGTTTATTTTATATAAAAGTTTAGGTATTTTATTTATCGGTTGAGGCATTACGAAGTCTGCCGGGTCAGCTAGTAATACATAAACTGACACTGTGGTGCAATAGTTAGCGGCTCTCACTGTTGCGCTGAGGGTCGCGGGTTCGATTCTCGCACCAGTCAAACATACGTATGATAAACAGTTTTGCTTACTCTTTGTCTGGGTGTTTATCTATCTATTATAAAATCTAAGATGCACGTCGATTATTCGAAAGAGACGATCGGCAAATTTCGGCTCCGTAGAGCGCTATCTCGCTCGCACGAAACACCAACTACAGTCCGATCGCACAGCGACTGCCAAACGTCACACAGGGTCGATGTGCGATATTTATTGTCGGGTACTGTACACCTATTTGATTGTGTCCTTGGATTAATTAATACCCAGGTACCCGACGCCTGACGAGAAACGAGCCCTCGCTCAGAAGACGGGTCTGACGTTAACGCAAGTATCAAACTGGTTCAAGAACCGTCGACAGCGCGACAGGACTCCGCAACAGCCTAACAGACCGTAAGTGTGGTTTTGGTTACTCATTTTCAGCCTTTTTCTTTTTTTTTATTGCGGCATTTTAATTTTAACGATTTAAAAATTGACACGGTACACAAAGAACAAAATTGTGCGTCTCTCTGGACGCCCTACAGAAACTATGATAACTTAAACTAATCTTAGTTGAACTATTTAATATTGAAAATTTCTAACCCGAGGAAAGCTTAGGTTATGATAAAAAAAATTATGTATATTAATATGATAATGTAAGGAAAATTGTAACATAAATTGAAATAAATTTCATTAAATAGTTAGAAATAAATTGAATTAAATTGAGTTGAATTAAATAGTTAGGAGTTACATACGTTCCCAGTACCGCCGTATGCGTGAGAGAAAGAGATGCCAGACAAACTGACGCCGTAACGCGTTACGTAACGAAGACGGTTTTACCCCCCCATAAAAAGTTATCATTCCAAAAGATCCTATTACACATTTGAACGAGAGAAAAAATTAAAGCAACTATGGGAATCCATGGATTGTTTAATGACGAGTTAGCGGAAGTGAAGTTACTTAACGTACCATCCGAGCTGTATGTAATATATAATGGCAAAAAAAACCTTTCTTACAATATAATTCATTATTGATTAGTCGGTCATCGTTCTCGTCGAACCCGTCGAACGTCGCTTGCGACGAAGAGCTCGACGAGTAAATTAACCCACAGACACAGCCCACTGAGTTTTTCGCGGGATCTTCTCAGTGGGTCGCGTTTCCGATCCGGTGGTAGATTCTGCGAAGCACGGCTCTTGCTGGGGTTCGTGTAAGCAACGTCGTCAGGTTTGAGCCCCGTGAGCTCACCTACTAGTTAAAGTTACGCTGAAATAGCCTCAAGGCTATCGGCATAGGTAAGAAAAAAAATTATTTATGTATAAACACTTAAATTTTGTATGCTGTTTATTTCTAAATAAATAAATAAATCATTCAGCTGAACAATTCAACAGTTCGAAGCAATCTTCTCTTTGTTGCTGCGTTTTATTAACACACTAAGCGAAACTGTAAAAACGTATTTCAATATATGAAAGTTTTCAGTTTAATAAATAAAATGCGATACATAAGTAAAAGTTGTTATTACTTAAGTGCTCTTTACGTTATTCACGAGTCGTTCACACAATTAAAAGTACTAGAGGTCCCGCAGTAGTCGAAATTCGACTATAATTATGTAATTGGAATTGTAAGTTTGCACACTATGATGATTGTATTCTATACTTCTATAATCACAAATTTCGCCAAGACTACACTATAAAAAATATTAACAAAGACAAACAATATTTAATCTACTCTCAATTCGACCACAGACGTCAAGAACAAAAGTTTGACAATAAATTTAATAGTATGCATGCGTGTTGCGTCAAATACATGGTATGTAGTGTGTGTAATGTTTTCTTTATTGATTTAATGTTTCTTTTATGCATTATTTTAAAAAAATATTAGCATTGTGCACTTTTTCTCTATATTCTCTATAAGTGTGGAAAATTTCATACTCCTTCGTCCACGCAATTTTCGTAAAAAGGGATACAAAGTTTTTGCTTCACGTATTAATATATAGATTTTTACGGTTTTCGGTTTCTCGCGTTTTTTATTATCATTATATCGAGGAGCGTAGATTATTTGGCTTAAGCGACATTTTTGCAACTTTACAGGAGAGCCGTTTAAAGCTTAAGATTTTTGAATAAATGATCATAACAAAGAAAACTTCATCATCTATTTTAATGGGTTTAACTTAATTGAAGTTCAATTGAAAACATTAAATTTTTTATACTAATACCAAATAAAACGGATCTTTAATTTAAAAAATAAAATAAAAAAATTATCGCGAAATGTCGTTCAAGCCACCTCGCCTTTTATCCTTCGATATTGTCTCTGACGTTATTTTTATACATTAAAACTACTACTACGTTTTCAATTCGAGTTTATTCTTGTCATTATACTATTACATTTCGAATAATTTACATTTATCGGGGTCAAATTTTCAATACATATATCTAACAAGATCCGTAGCGAATACTAAGTAACAAACGAATTAAAAACGAGAAACGGCTTCAAAGCCCAAAGCTCACTCGCTTACGACTTCAGACTGTAAACAATGGAGCTTTTTATCAAAATTGTTTGACAAACAAAAGCCTAACGTTTTTGACCTTGACTCGAATAGCAAGTGGCGGCTTGTGAAGGATTCGTTCAGTACCACATAAACATTAGAATCAATCGTCGGTGGTATTAACAGTGTCAGCTTCGTTTGCCATAATAATAGTTTTGCTAGTATTAATCTATACATATAAATAAAATTGGAGTGTCTGTTTGTAATATTGAAATAACCGGTTTTTACTATATGCATATGAATATATATACGGTACATACACCAAAATAACATTTTTTACAATTTTTGTCTGTCTGTCTGTCTGTCTGTTTGTTCCGGCTAATCTCTGGAACGGCTGGACCGATTTTGACGAGACTTTCACTGCTAAGTAGCTGATGATATAAGGAGTAATTTATGCTACTTTTTTTAGACTAGCTTCGCCCCGCGGCGTCACCCGCGGTACGACGACCGCGGGACTCAGCTATCAATAATAAAATTTAATGTTTCCGAAGCGAAGCGAGGGCGGGTCGCTAGTCTTAAGTATGTATACAAAAATTGGAATTATAAATAACTGGGATTGACTTACCTAATTATTTTTAGGGTCTAATTTCCGAATTTTTGGGTATTTAATAAAAGTATATTCTGGGGAGAATTTTATGGAGAAGATTTTAGTGATAATCATCATTTCTTCTCAGTGAATGAGATGGAGAATCAACATTATTAAAACAGCATTCTTAGTCATTCAAAAATCCCCTGTGATTACAATTATCACATGAATAAACTCATAAAATCTAAAAAAATGATTATCTTAAAATTACCGTACACTAAAACAATTACACAAGATAAAAAATAAAAAAATACTTTAAATTAGAAAAAAAAATGTTTTTGGCATATCTTCAGTAATTCTGGAAATCTGTATATCTTAACCAAAACCCCATTAACCCCGCTCGCTACGAAGAGATACTAAATTAAAAACAAAAATTGTCTTTTAAATTTCAATAATTTTATTTTTATTTTTATTGCCTTTGTAGGCAGACGAGAATACTGCCCATCTGATGGTGAGTGGTTACCGTCGCCCATTGACTTCAGCAATGCTAGGAGCAGAGCCAAGCCGCTGCCTACCGCTTAATACTCTCCACAAGCCGCGTTTGAAGAAATTATTAGAATAAAGTAATTAATACAGAGTAATTTCTTAAGCTACCATATTGTACCTATTTTTTTTTATTGCTTAGATGGGTGGACGATCTCACAGCCCACCTGATGTTAAGTGGTTACTGGAGCCCATAGACATCCACAACGTAAATGCGCCACCCACCTTGAGATATAAGTTCTAAGGTCTCAAGTTTAGTTACAACGGCTGCTCCACCCTTCAAACCGAAACGCATTACTGCTTCACGGCAGAAATAGGCAGGATGGTGGTACCTACCCGCGCGGACTCACAAGAGGTCCTACCACCATTAATTACGCAAATTATAATTTTGCGGGTTTCATTTTTATTACACGATTCATTTTTATTATTTTATTATTGTATTGCTAATCGTTGTCAATTGTGCTCACAAATCAGACACCACAGATTTAATTATTGTATTACTATGAACTAGAAAAAATCTGTAAGCGTACTAACACATGCCTAATCTGTGACCGTTTTTGAATGGTCATAAATTTAATTGCGGGTCATTTAAAAGGATGTTCGTCATTATTTTTTTTAATGCATAGACAATAATTTGTGCACACGTGGGCCGGTCTCACTTCGTCTGGCAGTCATTGATTGATGACGATGACCCTTAATGAAGAACAGCAATGGCTATTGCTTCGCAATGATGTACGGTCGTGACAAAAAAATCGGATATTTTGTTAACACATTTTGGAGGTTAGCTTTGGAATTTTTTTTTTTTGAGCATAGCGTAGCTAAATGACGGGTATGATGTAAAAAAAATTCGAGTAATTAGAACATGTTAAGTTTAGCCGTAGTTAAATGGAATTATAGCTTTGGCTTAATTTCATATAGTTCTGCGCCGATTCTGTTTTCATTAGAATTCTCGTGTTGAATGTTCAATACTCGAAATAAATATATAGGAAATTAATGAATTGAGGTAAGACGATCCCTTCACTAGGACCAGAGCTACGATCACGTTAATTTACAGCTACATATACATATATACATATACTACATTCTGATCTGATTTACTAGTGGTAGAACCTCTTGTGAGTCCGCACGGGTAGGTACCACCACCCCGCCTATTTCTGCCGTGAAGCAGTAATGCGTTTCGGCTTGAAGGGCGGGGCAGCCGTTGTAACTATACTGAGACCTTACAAATTCTATCTCAAGGCGGGTGACGCATTTACATTGTAGATGTCTATGGGCTCCAGTAACCACTTAACACCAGGTAAGGTGGGAGCTCGTACCGCCGGAATAACGTCGATACAGAGAGATGGCGCACTAGTAGCTTAAATAAACAGGCAAATTTGGCATATGCACTGCAAATATAGTGAGATAAAAACATATTTGAGAACCTCCTTCCTGAATGCGAAACTGGCTGACAAAAAAAACAAAAAAAAAAAACATTTTAAAGTTTAACCAATCACGGAGCGCGTATAGGTCGAGTATTTTACGCGCCATTGTTTCTTTGACGTGTGACGTGTTTAATATTTTTTTATTGTTACGTGTTTTTGCACAGCGTGAGGTCATTGTGGGGCCCGTCTGCGATACATATTATTATTAAGTAGTTTCAACTTGCTTAGAGTTGAATTTGTATGTGTGACAATTTTTAAAATTAGCGCAGTTGTCATACGTCGAATAAGATGATCCGTGTGCTTAGTGCGAGTTTTTTAACGTTCTCGATAGCGTTAAAGTTAACGCAATTTGTATGCAGTAGGAACAACGCTCCTAGTGGCAAACGTAGGCTATCGTTCCAACTCCATACAAATTTGACTTAACTTTTACGCTGTCGAGAACGTTAAAAAACTCGCACTAAGTACACTGGTGGTGTATTCGTATAGAGCAGCCTTTCCCAAAGTGGGCGATAACGCCCCCTTGTGGGCGCTGCAGGCTTAAAGGTGGGCGGCAAGAGACCCAGAAAGAAAATGGGGGCGTTGTGTAGAGGCTTGGGAGGCGATTTGTAATTTAATCTAGGAGGACTCTTAAACACCGGTTGAGTTCTCGCTATAGTGGTTTTGAAGTAGGTGAAAAAATGGGGGCGCTAAAAAATTATTTATTCTGAAATTGGGCAATAGACAAAATAAGTTTGGGAACCTCTGGTATAGAGCGATGCTACTTTATATTTCATTAAACTCAAAAACTATGCGAATGAGGATTAATATCTGACGCAATATCACCGAGAAGTACTTTTCTACCAAATAGAAATGTAAATTAGAAAATGTATTTACAATTAATGTAAGGAAAAAGACGGTGAGAAACTCAGTGGACTGTGTCTGTGGGTTAATTCGCTCGTCGAGCCCTTCGTCGCAAGCGACGGTTCGACGAGGACGGTGACCGGTGCTTGTGGTACCTAAGAGCACCGTTAATGGATCGGGAGGATCCGTAATGACTTGTTTTGAGCGACGTCGACTATTTACCATTCGGTCTAAAGGATCGGGTATGTAATTTCCAGCGGCCACGACAAGAGGGTTTTCATGTCGTGCCGCCTTCTCAAAGTATTCGGACACAATGGAATGGTCTCATATCGTTTTTTTTTGGTCCACAGCGAGATGCTGGTGCCGGCGCAGTACGCGGGGCCGCAGGGAGGACTTGCCCAAGCTTTACTGCCGAACGCGTACTACCATCAGCTCCAAGACCCCACGCATTATCTTCACGGAACACCGTGACGAAATTAACGTTCAAAATAATACTGAACAACCGAGAAACTTTACTAGGCGTATAACGAATTTAAATTTTGTATTATTAAAAATAAATAAAAAGTCTTAAAAGGCTTAAAAGTGCATTTACGCTTTTTACGTTTTGATATTATAGTTCATTTACTTTCGAATCGTAAATATAGTTTTAATACCGTGTTACAACTAATGAAAATCTAAGATGAAAATATAAAAAAAAAACATTCGCGTTCATTTGTTTGTTTGTTTGTTTTTTTTCACTTAATATTTTTGATTGTCACAGTTAAGCCATAGGCCGTATAAATTTGAATAGGCGATTTGAAAAAAAAATCAGATACAAGATAGCTCCTGTGTCAAAAAGAAATCTATGTTTCACGTTAGTGATAAAATTTAATAAATTAGGCCTATAAAATCAAAAGCAGCTAAATCCAAGTCTGTCAAATATTCAGATAAACTACAAAATCGGCCCTAAGCACGTCATTACGGATCCTCCCGATCCATTGAAGTACTGCTCTTGCTAGGGCCAGTGTTAGCAACACTCCCGGTTTGAGAAACTGAAATAACTTTGTTCGGATAGCTATGATATTCTTTATTTTAAAACAGATTTATAAATAATGAGAATATTCCTAATAATCTGAGTTTTAAATGATAAAACTTCGTTTATTAGTACTTAGTACAGAGTAAAAATGAAAATTTTGAACTGAATTAGTTATATTTAGCTGCATTTGTTATAACATGAAAACACTAAAGCGTGTTCAACTAACTAAACAAGATAGGTCCATTGTTAATCCATTTTACGACATTAAGGCGTTTAGCTGCCTTTGATTTCATAGGCCTCAAATCAGCTATTTCTTATGCGTCATGTGTGTAACAATGTCTTATGTGTTGTTGTATATACTCTCATTATAAATTGTTATATAGATAGTGTATGTATCTATAGTAATGCATTGCATTAAAAACATTAACATTTAATTCCAATGGCTACCTTATCTGAGTATTATTTTAGTAAATACCTTTTAAACAGACATTTAACATATATTATGTGTGTGTTCATATGTTTTAGGCGTAAGTAGGTCTTGTAATTCAATTCTTGTTTACTTTAGATTAAAGCTCTAAATATAAGGTAGCTTCTAATTATAGTGATCTGGACGGTAGAGGCAATGAGAATCTTATACCTTTAAACGAGCAATTCTTGTATATATATACATATATATATATATATATATAATCTGAATCTCGGAAACGGCTCCAACGATTTTTATAAAATTTAGTATACAGGGGATTTCGGGGGCGATAAATCGACCTAGCTACGATTTATTTTCAGAAAATGTTGTTTTATTCGTGTTTTCAACTTTATGACTCTTCCCGACATCTATTGGCGAATAATAATACTATTTTTCATAATTTCAACTAGCTGCTTTAAAGACACAATACGCATCGAGCAACGAGCAAAGCTCGGTCATCGACTAGTACTCTTTACGAATGAAAAGAGTGCTCGTGGAAAAGCGACCTATTATTAAATTATTTTATTTTTTTTCAGATAAAATATTAATTCATATTAATGTTAGTAACAGTGATTTCTTAAAATTAAGTTAGTAAGGACTTAGTAGCAAAAACAAAAGAAAAGAACAACATACATACAATTAAAATATGTAGTTTACCATTACGAGCATATTTTGTCAACCTCTTTACAATGATTGAGAAAAGGTCCATCTAATCTCGAGACTATCATAGGCATTATGGGGGCGCCACCGTTGCTAGTGGTGTGATTTGAAAATAGAACCAAAAATAATTATATTAAACTTTTATTTTCACGCTTTTTGTGTGTGTTTGCTGTGTTTTTTTTAAAAGTCGTAATTGGTTGTCTACCGCTGTGCACTTTTTTCACTTGTCTCGTAATCAAAACGGTTTTCTTTGCCTCTACCCTCCACAGTATGTAAATGTTACACAGATTATGTATGTAAATCAAAACATTATGGAGTATGGTTCCTATTATTTTGTAAAATTGTATCTTTCTTTCAGAAATATTAGTACCAACGGCGTGAGTAATAAAAATAAATACATGTCGGTTTTGTAACGTACCTTATACTAAAGACGTGAAAAGTATTTTCGATTAATATAGGTAGAACAAAAATTTAATCGATAAGTAGAAAAATAATCGTTTTCTCATTTACACTATGTAATTTGTTAGTTCGAGTTTAAATCGTATTAAAGATTAGTGTATAGTTTTTCGATTACTAGCTGGTGGCAATTATTATTTAAGTGATTATTATTGTTGTTATGCAAGAGTTCCTCGTTTAATTTTTTTTAATTATTAATCGATTTCGAAAGGTCTGAAAATCGATACCCTATGACAAAATCTTTAAGAACGATTATTTTCTTTCTTAACTAATTTCTTCTAGGCTTTTATAATAAGAAAATAAATATTTTGTTTAACTCTTTGACTGCTATGTAAGTCATCGGTGGCCTACGCGGCGCACTGAAGTAATTGTGTCGATTTCTGTTACAAAGCGCTCAACAAACAGTTTAAAATTCTCAACTCGCTTTCGCTTCGCTTCAGGTGATCCGTTTGCTGTTTCGCTTCGAGTAGTTCCGATTACTAACTGATTGCGTGTCATCTCTGCAACGCTTTTATAGCCGATACCACATCCCTAGAATTATCGATAATATTCCACACATTTCGAGTATTGTGTTTCCGCTATCTGACAATAGATGGCGTTGTACTTCTCGAGCGTTCCAGGTGCTACTAGATCCTTCGATATTCGGCGATAGATGGCGTTACTCTTACCGGCGTAGCAATATTAACGGGTGAAAGACTATTCAGCTTAAGCGACATTTTTCCAATTTTACGGGAGAGCCATTTTAAGTAAAAAATTTGAAAAAATGTGTGCGTGTACTAGTGTACACACGTAAGAAGTGAAACATTAATGCTATCCCTACTCCGTTGGAGAAAGTGAAAGTACTCTTCGTCTGAACCAACCGTGGTAGGGGCAAGAAAAAGATGGCGCGTAACGGAAAAATGTGACGCGTAACCGAAAAATGTGACGGTAAATTTTTTTCCAACGCCGATAAAGAAGTTTCACTTCANCACTGGTGGTAGGACCTATTGTGAGTCCGCACGGGTAGGTACCACCGCCCTGCCTATTTCTGCCGTGAAGCAGTAATGCGTTTCGGTTTGAAGGGTGGGGTAGCCGTTGTAACTATACTGAGACCTTAGAACTTATATCTCAAGTTGGGTGGCGCATTTACGTTGTAGATGTCTATGGGCTCCAGTAACCACTTAACACCAGGTGGGCTGTGAGCTCGTCCACCCATCTAAGCAATAAAAAAAAAAAAAAAAAGTTGTTAGGTCTCCTTCGGAGGCGCTCGGGCAGCTGTTAGCAAATCCCACCTCTTCTGGCTGAGCCTTTGCTCGCCCACCTGTCCTGGTGAAACTGGAAAGGCCACCGGGCCACCAGTAATCCTTCAATACTAAAAAAATAAAAAATAAATAAAAAGTATTTGTACGGTTTTATCTCGCATTTTTAATTGTCATTATGTCGAGGAGTGTAAGATTATTTGGCTTAAGCGACATTTTTCAATTTTACAGGAGAGCCATTTAAAGTCTAAGATTTTTTTTAAATTATCATAATAAAGAAAATTTCTTCATCTATTTTAAAGGGGTTCACTTAATTAAAGTTCAATTGAAAACATTAAATTTATGATACTAATACCAAATAAAACGGATCTTTAATTTAAAAAATAAAATAAAAAAATTATCGCGAAATGTCGCTCAAGCCACCTCGCCTTTTATCCTTCGATATTGTCTCTGACGTTTTTTTTTATACATTAAAACTACTACTACGTTTTCAATTCGAGTTTATTCTTGTCATTATACTATTACATTTCGAATAATATACATTTATCGGGGTCAAATTTTCAATACATATATCTATAGCTAACAAGATCCGTAGCGAATACTAAGTAACAAACGAATTAAAAACGAGAAACGGCTTCAAAGCCCAAAGCTCACTCGCTTACGACTTCAGACTGTAAACAATGGAGCTTTTTATCAAAATTGTTTGACAAACAAAAGCCTAACGTTTTTGACCTTGACTCGAATAGCAAGTGGCGGCTTGTGTAGGATTCGTTCAGTACCACATAAACATTAGAATCAATCGTCGGTGGTATTAACAGTGTCTGCTTCGTTTGCCATAATAATAATTATGTTAGTATTAATCTAATACATCTATACATATAAATAAAATTGGAGTATCTGTTTGTAATATTGAAATAACCGCTTTTTACTACATGCATATGAATATATATACGGTACATACAACAAAATAACATTTTTTACAATTTTTGTCTGTCTATCTGTCTGTTTGTTCCGGCTAATCTCTGGAACGGCTGGACCGATTTTGACGAGACTTCCACTGCTAAGTAGCTGATGATATAAGGAGTAACTTAGGCTACTTTTTTTGGGAATTTTTGGGTATTTAATAAAAGTATATTCTGGGGATAATTTTATGGAGAAGATTTTAGTGATAATCATCATTTCTTCTCAGGGAATGAGATGGAGAATTAACATTATTAAAACAGCATTCTTAGTCATTCAATAATTTCCTGTGATTACAATTATCACATGAATAAACTCATAAAATCTAAAAAAATGATTATCTTAAAATTACCATACACTAAAACAATTACACAAGATAAAAAATAAAAAAATACATTAAATTAGAAAAAAAAATGTTTTTGGCATATCTTCAGTAATTCTGGAAATCTGTAGATCTTTACTCAAAACCCCATTAACCCCGCTCGCTACGAAGAGATACTAAATTAAAAACAAAAATTGTCTTTTAAATTTTAATAATTTTATTTTTATTTTTATTGCCTTTGTAGGCAGACGAGAATACGGCACATCTGATGGTGAGTGGTTACCGTCGCCCATTGATTTCAGTAATGCTAGGAGCAGAGCCAAGCCGCTGCCTACCGCTTAATACTCTTCACAA